CGTCTCGGTCTCCTTGAGCATCTTTCCGGCGCATGCCACAAACATGAACCACAGGGAATACTCGTCTTTTAAAAGGCTTCATTTAGATGATTTGACGTTAAATGCATCATATAAGTCACTTTGGAATAAATCACAGTAGGCCTATGTATCATGATAAAAAAAAGTGACTTTACAGTCTGGAAATACTTTAGGCTATAGCAAATTATTTTGCGGAACCCCTATCACTTTAAGAACCGCTGGTCTACACAGAAGAAAGACCTGTCTAGACTCTGCCACGAGTTGTGTCGAGCTATTCATTAGTATGTTTGATGAGAAAAATATGAAATTGATAAAATGGGTTATTAATCCGTACAACTGCAGCAGTGGAGGACTATTATTCTGCTGCGTGATATTGCGGAAGAACTGAAGAAGGCACGGTTTGATCTTCGGCTGACCAATCAGCAGAAAGGGTCGTTTAATTCCCGCCCACATGTAGAAATCGAATATTCAAGCTGTTTATTCATTTTTTCACCCATGAACGAAAAACCAAAATTTAAGCTGAATTCTCGTTTTTCATTTTTTGGAAAAAAATGTTTTCTCATTTTTCTACTTTCAATATTAAATTAAAAAACGAATGATCGAATGATACACAGATTTTTTTCCAACAGTAATTCTGTTTTTTAAATTTTTTTTATGACAAATTTTTTTTTTTTAATTTTATGACATTTTTTTATGGCATGTCGGTGTTATATCTTTCAGTTGGATGTCATAAATTACAGCTGGATGAAATGAAGATGGACACAGTTTTTGTTTTATTCAGCTGTATTTACTCAGTGTAATTTATAACATCCAATTGAAAGATATAACACCAACATGTCATAAAAAAATATGACATGATAATCATGATATAATCATTATACACAAGATAATACACTACTGATCAAAAGTTTGAGGTTAAGAATAAAAAAAACAATTACAATTATTCAGCAAGAATGTATTAAATTGATCAAAATTGAGAGTAAAGACATTCATAACATTATTAAATATTTTAAATAAATGCTGCTTTTTTGAACTTCCTTTTCATCAAAGAATCCTGAAAAAGAAGAAGGATCATGTGACACTGAAGACTGGAGTAATGGCTGCTGAAAATTCAGCTGTGCCGTCACAGATATACATTACTTTAAAATGTGTTAAAACAGAAAACAATCATTTTAAAAATTTTAATATTTCACAATATTACTGTTAAATTTACTGTATTTTGACTAAATAAATGCAGCCTTTCTGAGCATAAGAGATTCATTTCCAAAACATTAAAAAAAACACCAAACTTTTGAATGGTAGTTTACATCTAATATAACTAAAATATATTTGTTTTCAAATTAAACACAACAACAGATGTTTAGCACTCAATTTAGGCCTTTTGAATATGACAGATTATATTAATTAAATGTTTCGTATTAATTAAATATATTATAATAATTGACTCTATAATTAAACTTTAAAATTTGGGGCGGGTGAAACACACTTAACCTTGAACTTCCAATTCACTGAAGTTTTTCCACCTTGCCCAAGAATGCCAAGTTTTATTGCATTCAATTTATTTGAAGGTAAGATCACATCCCTTGCTCTGCGAATAAGTGCTGAGCCACATCACTGAGAAAACATCCAGATATTATTTAATTTTGAAATAACCCCACTTCCCTCTCATTTAAAGCATCTTGCGGTCTAATATTAAACCTATACCCATAGGGATAAAGTTTCTATAAATATTCAAGTCCTCTCCCTCATGAGGAAAACAAAGGCAATGAATCATAGCTCATGTCTGTAATCTTGATTACATAAACTTGCATCCTCAACCACTAAGCAACATGAGGCCACTGGTGATTTTAAGCATTTTGGCCAAGTTGTCAGTGCCAGTCTAGCCAAGCACCAATTAATCCTAATGCTACAGTTTGAATGACTCATAATACAGCCAGCAGCTTGTTTAAGCAGGCTCATTGATTAACAATAAAGTGCACTCTCATTCACTCATTTTGTTAAACAAGGTGAAAAGATTCCCATCTAATGGGTCTGATCAGTTAATGCACAGTAATCACACTTGAAATTAAAGCTGAGGTGTGTAATTTCAGCCCCGCTGGCATCACAAAACAGAACTGCAAAATTAGTGATTGTTTTCAAATAGACTTCACACTCCCTGCGTCTGCGGTTGCTCAGAAAAAAAAACTGTTAACTCTCAGTTTTAACTACAAAAATAGAATGTTATTCAGAACAAAACTTTTCCCCAATTGCTTGGTTTCGATCATTGAAACTTGCATTCTGAAAGACTCAGTATGTTTCCATAGTACACTGAACTCTGACCTCAAAAAGTAAAGGACATTTTGATTCCTCGTGATATGAACACTTTAATCCAGACATCCTCATCTATGTTCGGACAAAAAGAAAGTCTTCAGCAAAACACCTTGACAAGACTTTCAATGATATGTTGTTTTGTGCTTCCATCTTCTGGTAGAATGGTGTAATTGCGGTGAAAAATAGTTGTATTTTCCAAATAAAAACCAAATGTCTTAAGGTGATGCATAAAGTGAGCATTCCTGGTTCAATATGAATTAAAATGTACATTTAATAACAATTACATTTAAAACAACAGTTCAACATCTTGAAATAGACTTTCCCTCCTTAATCTATACTCCCACCCTGTAAAACCCACAATGACAAAGTTCAAGCAAACAGCTAAGCAGATTGTTGCTGAGAAGGGCTTTTCATTGTTTGTACGGCTGATCTATTATTGACGCTCAAAAACAATCTTGCTGTTTAGATGTGATTGTGCAAACAGGAAAGATAAATATTTAATCAACAGCTTCTGAAATTGAGTTGACCTAAAGGGAATTGGGAACATCAACTACAGGCTAAAAAAGCAGAGGATGGGTGGAGGGTGGAGAGTTTGTAGCTCTTACCAGCAGTTATAATCTGCAGTGTCCATGGATGTTTGGCCATCAGTGCCTGATAAGATCTCCAAAGGCCCGCCATGTGACAAAGTCTAAGAAAAACACAGGACTATTGAAATTACTGCAATGAAAACTGCTTCAGAGATTGAAAAATAGCTGACAACTTGAACAATAGCTAATAATTTGTATGTGGCAAGAATAATATCAATGTCATATCATCATGGCACTTAGACTACTGATAGACAAATGATCTAACAAATCTCTTTTTACTTTATGCAACATCATCTTATCAACAAATGCAAACCAATATTTGATCCCAAACTAGTTACTGACTAGTTATTAACCAAGATTTGCTTATGTTCTTACATATGATTCACTAAAAAAGGATTCAAAAAGCCGTTCATTCAAGATTCCGACAACACTGGCCATGATATATGCGTGTGATTCACTAAAAAGAACCGGTTCATAAGATTCATTCATTTTGGACTACACTGGTCGCGCTATTTTTATTCACAAAGAAGAATCGATTCATTGGAGTCGTTCATTTGGAACTCAGACTACACTTGTGGCACTGTGCGTTTTGGATTCTTGTTTCAGTTTTAAGGTGCTTTATTACGGTGGCCGAGAAGTGCAGAACAAATCACAATTCTGAAAACAAAAGAACAAATTACAAACGCAAATGCAAGTCTAAAAAGAGCTTTGCCAAGCATGTTTACACACACAAGGAATTTGTCTTGGCGACAGGAACTTCCAGTGAAAAAGAAGCAGGCTGCATTAAATATACAATGCATTTAGAAGTAAATAATAATAATAATAATAATAAAAGTAATTGAAAATAATACAATATGAAATATTCTCCGATTCTCTGAAAAACAACGACTCATAAGAGTCAATCATTTGGATATCGGACTACACTGATTGTGTTCATTAGAAGAATCGGATTGTGTTGTGCATTTTTGATTCATTAGAAGAATCGGCTCACGAGAGTCATTTATTCGGGAATCGGACTACACAGTAGCGCGCAGTGTACTGTATATTTTGCGCTGCTTAACGTGTTGTTGCGGCACCCAGTGTAGTAGAGATCTCTGTTAAATTTTAATACGGTAAAAGCACGCTCCACAATTGTAAACGGAACATGTTCCCAACCTTACTAATCCGTACTGAGCACCCCTGCTTTTATAAGGTTCAGTTGCACTCTTACAGTGATGAAAGTCTCGCGCTTTGGCTCAAAGGCGCGTGCAGTGCGCGTGCAATAAAACGTGATGTATTTCCAAACTTAAAAACAAAACGTTTTTATGTTATACAAAACCAGATACGGACAATTCTGTTTCTCACAACCCTGGCATACAAAACTAAGAATGTGTCATCCACTGTACATTTTTATTTTCATTTATTTAATACAATTTGTCTCTCAAGTGCCTATAACAAAGCTTACGCAACGCGCATTAAAACTACTATTTTATAACTCTTGCACAGTCAGTTTCAACCCGTATGGAGACTTAAGTTAGACAGAAGTGTAGTCCTACCTTGTCACGCAAACAGAAGTGATACAGTGCGTGTTTAGAGATGTTGGTGTTGCTGAAGTTAAAGAGGTATGACTGCTGCTTTCAAAGACCCCGAAGTCAAAAGAGGAAGCGAAGTGACTTTCGAAGATGTGGCTTAAGTTTAAACACACTCGCCGAACTCATTCAGTCTTGTTTGTACTTGTATCAGGACAACCTGAGATATGTTTGACATAATTCATTTTACCCCAAAGTCATAACATAACGAGATGCTCGAGGTGGTGTGAAGCAAGCAAACGCTTCAAAGCCCAAGATATTTCAAAATAAAAGTCCCACTCGAGAATTAATTGAACTATTGGAATTAAAATGTTTTTTTTGTGTGTGTGCTGATTTTAAACACAGTTTAAAACCCTCTTAAATTAAAATAATTTTTTTGAACAATTATATTTATAGCAAAGTGTATCTGGAATTGATTTTTGGTTAAGACTAATAAAACTGAAAGGACATGCACTTGTTACACTTACATTTTTGCAATTTTTGAAGGAGAAAAAAAAAAAGACAGACAGACTTAAGCACAAAATATTTTATTGAGCTATTTATACAGACAGAAAAAAATGCTCCAACAGAAGTGGAATGGCTTACAACACTGGAGGTCAGTTTAAAGCTCGTAAACAGATAACCCAGGGACATTTTTACATATACAACAAAATCATTACAGTACACATCTGTGGAGAGAGAAAACTTAAATAAGAAAGATAAATATTTTTTCTCTTATAATATTTTTGCCAATATAGTTAAGTCTGAAGTCCATTACTGAGATTTAATTTAGAATAACACATAATCAAGCCATAAAATCACTGTACAAAAAAATAAATAAAAGCAAAACAAATGGCAGGTCCAATTAGAAAACAAACATACAAAGAAAAGTAAGACATAAAGACATAATTTTCATTACTACATAATGTCAAGTGGGACCAAACAGACAAATACAATTTTAATTAAATGCCATTGAAATAATGTGCAACACTCCGCTTTAGGTGAGAATGTGATCAAACTGCTTGCTTACTTAAATTTAAGTGCATCTCGAGCTGCTGTATTTGCATTTTGGCACTATTAGTTTGATCAGGTTTATTGAAGAAGAAAAAAAGCATTCAGGAGAAGCACATGTTTTGCTCTCTTTTGGTTTAATTTCTGCTAAAAGACTCCCAAAATGTTCTTTAATCATTTTTTCTCAACTTCTGTCATTGCAAATCAATTTGTCGTTGCCTCTAATCAATCAGGCATGGCAAATAAACCAATGAAAAATAAAAATACATTATCTACAATTTAAAATTCAAGTATGTAACGGAAAACTATAAACCTAATTTGGTTCCCCTCTGTGGCACTGTAGTGCTAAATACTAAAACCAATGATGAGAGGAAAATTATTCCTTTGGACTTAAAATTGAAATTTCTATTAGCAAAAGTCCCTTTTCAATATTTCATGAATTCCCCACATTTTTACACACACACACACACACACACACACACACACACAAACACTATCAAGTAGACTGATATATTGATTGGCACTTCACATCTGTATCGCCTTCAAGACACCAATCGAAAGTCAAAACAACAAAGTAAAAGTAGATTAAACAACAGATGTATTGTGTATAAGCAGAATTGCAGCATTGCAGTAAACAGTGATATCTATTTGTGCTTGGGCTACTATTCAAGGTAGTAACATTTATGCAGATTTTTAGCAAAGCTGCAATATTAAAGGCAGGTTCAATTGAAGCAAGCATGTGTTTCGTTCACTTAGTATAAAATGTCAATTTGGTCAAGCACTTCAAATGCAAATATATGCCATATATGCTATACAAACGAAAGAGAAGTCAAGTCAAGACAAGACAACATGAAACCAGCTAACAAACATTGAGTATGAGCTGTGCTTGCAATCAATTACATACAGTATACTGTATTCTACACAGTATATACTGTATACTCACATACTACAAGGTAGTTTGGTAGTATGCCATTTCAAACACCCCCATGAAGAAACTGTGGTGTGCCCTTATTATTCCACTCTTATCATTCTTTGTTCAAGTATTAATGAAAAACTCTTAAATTGTGATGGTCATGTGGGCACTGCAAGGAAAGCTAATGAGCAGTAATCTCTCATGTTTGGGGGTCCATTAATGCTTTGACCTGTATTGAGCATGGGCTCACATGTAGGACGCAGTATTGCAAGAATCGACAGCAAGAGGCGGCTAAGGCTTATGCTTATATAGGGCAGGGCAATGGGTCCACAATCCTATGAGATTAAGTGCTTAAAAGTTCCCTTCGCTGACGCATGCAGATACAGTTGCTCACATACAAGTCTTGATGAAATTCAGTAGTCCATCCCCTCATCACTTTCATACCAGTCTGAAGGAGCATCAGTCCCAAAGTAACGGTCCCCAAAATTACCTGCAAAACAATTGCAATTACAATATATTTGGGGGTCCTGTTTTTTTCTTAATTTTTGTTAAAGGAACAGTTCGCCCAAAACTGAAAATTTGCTGAAACTCACACTCAGGCCATCCAAGATGTAGAAGAGTTTGTTTCTTCATTGAAACAGAGTTGGAAGAATTTAGCATTACATCATTTGCTCACCAATGGATCCTCTGCAGTGAATGGGTGCCGCCAGAATGAGAGTCCAAACATTTGTTAAAAACATCACGATAATCCACACTTAATCCACATGACTCCAGTTAATCAAATTTAACTTCAAACCATTGCTTCCAGCTAAAATACTGTTCCTTTATTCATAATATTGCTTTCTCATCTCTGACTCAGTAGAGAAAAATGCACAGATCAATCACCATTTACACATGAAAATGGACCAAAACCGTTTTAAACAAATATGTCAGTGGATTTTCAAGTGAAAGGAGAATGGGGGATGGATTTTTAAGGGACTTTTGGATTATTGTGATGTTTTTATCAGCTGTTTGGACTCTCATTCTGACGGCACCCATTCACTGCAGAGGATCCATTTTTGAGCAAGTGATGTAATGCTACATTTCTCCAAATCTTTCCGATAAAAAAACAAACTCATCTACATCTTGGATGGTCTGAGGTTGAGTACATTTTCATTTTTGTGTGAACTATTCCTTTAATCAAACTGCTCTTACCAATCCCTGGAATGATGTGAAACTCATCGTTGACCTTCTTGTCCACGGCAGTGGTGATGATGCGCACTTTGGGAAAGGCGTAGGCCACTGAGTGAACGCCCATTTCCGCCATGAGGAGAGAGAGCAGGAAGATCTTATCCTCCTGGACATCATGATCCTGGAACAGATGAGTTCGTGAACCACCCTGATTTAAACTATACTGAGCACTAACTAATGTGGATATCAAGGTCTGGAAAAACACTGTACAAAATAAATAGATAGAATAAATAGTTAGATAAATATAAAATATAAAGTATATCACTGATTTAAAATGGTGTCTGTAATGCAATGACACATTTTTGGAATAAATGAATATAATATAATATAACACCATAATAAACAAAGTGCAACATATATATATATTATATAAAATAAAAAATAATTAACTAAGTCGCTTTGGATAAAAGCGTCTGCTAAATGCATAAATGTAAATGTAAATGTAAATATATTTACATATGTATACAGAAATATACAACATATATAATATATTTCCAAGTAGCCACGTTGTTAACAGATAGAAACATTGAACCAAGGCAGACCTTTTAAACACTCACATCCTATGTGGACTTTGCTCCCAAAAAAGGGAGCAATCTGGTTAGGATTGTTTGTTTTTTTTATGCAAGAGAGGTCCAAGAGAGGTTCTTGTAGAAATGTGATTGTGTTGGGTGTCCACTGAAACAGACCTAACAAGACAACGTCAGTTCTAGGGCTCACATCTCCTATCACTTCCATTACAGATTCAGGATAATGAGATGTGAGATCTTAAAAGGAGCCAAAATACTCCACAATGCCCATGAAATTTTAAAATAAATCTGTGCACATTTGGGAAACTTACTTTAAAAAAAAATAAATGTGACCTGTCTGCTGAGGTGACTTACAAGTAAGACTCTGACAGCCATGAGAGCTGCCGCTCCTGTTGACACAGTGCTGTCCATCAGGATAACATAATCCTCACTGATGTCCTTGGGAAGACGAAGGTAATGGAGCTGAGGAGGAAATTAGACTGTAATAAGACACATTTATAGTCTAAGCAATGATTTTTGTGACATTACTATATGGAAAACACTAAACTTCTAAAGCAATTAAATAAGGACATCTAAGGAGCTTTGAGATCAAAGAAATGCAAATTGAAAAACGCTACAGTATCGAGGATGAGTGATACAGCATATCTATATATCTATATCTATCTATCTATACACACATATATATACTGTGTGTGTGTATATATATATATATATATATATATATATACCTTTGATTACAAGGAAATATTTTTGTTTTTTTTCTACTAAATGAGCATAAGAATTATTGTACAATTATTTTCATTTATATGCTTTAATATATCACCATAAAGCAAATAAATAAACATAACT